GCTGCAGTTGTTGCACACAGCTACCACAGCTGGTCCTTTAAAGGTCACAAAAACAAAAATGTAACATGAAAAACATAATTGCTTTAGTTTTTAATTAAGGGAATTGTTTGGATTATTTCTTGGAAAGAGCAAAAAAAATATGAACATATACTAGTATTGATGCAAACCAACTTGAATTCTTGCTTTTTATTTCTCTTTTGTGTTTTCTGGGGGGGCACATCAGCTCTTGAAATGGCCCCCCAGATGCTTAAGGTTGCCACTGGCTACAGTTGACAAAATCTGCAAGCAACAGTCATCAGTTTCACTTTACAAAATGGTAGATTGATGTCTAGAAATGAGAAGTAACAGTAGCCACAGTAACTAAGGGGGGTGGGGTTTAGCAAAAGGTCATTTGTTTTCAACATTCATCCCTGTTAGGATTAAACAAAGTTGTTCTTACAAGCAAGAAATAAAACTCTGTCTGCAAAAAGGGCTCCAGATACAGTAGGTGTTTATAAAGCAAGTAACTGGATAAAATGAGTGGAGGTACTGGCACAATGACTACAGAGCAGGGGAAGGCATGGAGACATTTGTGTTTGGTACTTAATCCCACTGTATAAAACTTGCTGGGTCACTGTCTCTAGTTAAGCTCCAGGCAGTGGGATCACAATATGTTTCAAAATCATTAATACTCTCTTGACTTGCTAAAAGTCTTCTCTTCTTCTCTTCTGACAATGACAGGCAGTGTAGAATTGAAGCATATTTTGTCTCGTTAAAAATACATTTGTGTAAATGGGGGAATGCTATCTGGGTCACAGAGTGGCAGTGATACCGCGGCTGTGTGGAGGAAAATGTTTGTGTTCTATGCTCTATGCCAGTCATAGAACCGGGAGAGTTTAGTGAGGAGGACAAATAATGGGATGTTATCTTTAGAAATCTCCCATTATAGAACATTTCCCACTGGAGTAATTATACCTCTTGGCATTACATGAACTCAATAGCAGTAATATTGCCTCATGTTTATTAGGTGTCTTTAATATTAAGTGGTTTGTTTGCAGACTGGAATGTGACAGACCAGTTCTATTGTTTCAACAACAGCCCTCGACAAATGCAGAACTCATTAACAAGAAACCAGTTGTGTACAGTAAAAAGAAACTGATACTATTAGCTAACTAAATAGCTGTAGGGCAAAACTAACTTCATACTAGCAATACATACTTCTAACAAACAGATGTGAGAATAAACCAGGAAATACCTTTAAAGTTAAAGATATTGAAACAGATAAAATATAAAGGTTGGGTCTTTCCAAAAAATGGCTGACTATCTTAAAAACAATAAACTAAAAACAATGACTGTAACGGCCCATGGAACTTAATAGCATTTCTGCCTTCAGTTTCATCATTATTAGACAGTCATGTAATAAATCTATTACAGAAACGTGATAATAGATGTTATTTGTGTCCTGAGACATCAGTCCTCTTCTTATAGGAGTATTATCACATTTACAGAGCAGTACCTATAGTATAGTATAGTATAAGACCCATAAAGATACATATCGGTTGTATAGCTGCAGAATAAATGTGCTGCTTTTCATTGTACACCAAGAGGTGTAACCACAAAAGAATGAGAACATTTTAAATATTTTATCCAGAGTATGCAAGTGAACTCAAAATAACTGTTTTATTTTAAAATATCACATGAAAATAGGTTTGATAAAGATTATCCATTTTAATTGTATGCATTTTTTCAATATAGTTATGTTGAAAACATTACATTTATTCATTTAGCTGACGCTTTTATCCAAAGCAACTTACAATTGCTATGCATGTCAGAGGTCAGAGGTCAGACGCTCCTGGAGCAACTAGGGGTTAAGTGTCTTGCTCAGGGACACATGGTGGATGTCTCACAGTGGGAATCGAATCCAGGTCTCCCACACCAAAGGCAAGCATCTTATCTATGCACCATCACCACCCTAAAACAACATGTGTTTTCTAAATAATCTTTGACAAATTATGTAAAAAAAACTAGGGCTGGGCACAACGTGGCTCTGGACTCTAACTTGTTTTAACAAGCTAGATAAAAGGTAATGCCCTGGCAGTGTTAAATAGCTTTGGTTTTATATTTTATTTGATTACATTAATGTTTAAGTTGAGATTTCCAAGAAATATTTTATTACTACTGTGCAAAGGGAAAACTGCTGGTAAAAAGCACGATATCTGTTATAAGTGTTTGCAAACCACATGTTATTGCACTTTTGTGTATATAGCAGTACATTTAAATTAAAAATGCGCAATACGCTCTTTTATAATTCATTATTCAATTTTGTATATAATTATGCAATTAATCACAGAAACTCATGTGATTAATCACAATTAAAAATTTTGAGGATTGCCTTTTATTCCACATTAATATTCCTGTATATTATCATATTTTAAAGGGAAATACTGGTTACGCCAACTGACACAAACCACCTGACCATGTTACTTGCTACAGTCAAAAGCCTTTGCTGAAGAAAACGAAATGGAAAATCAAGCATGACAGTCAACAAGGTAAAGTGAACCTGTCCCTTGTGGGACAGATCATCCAACTGGTGGGCAAAGAAGCAGAAGAGAGTTTCATGCACCAGCTGGAAGGGAAGAATGTCTTTACCTGGCCTCATCCACCTGACCTCCTAATCTATTATGAGTCCGATGTGCTGCACATAATCTCCGAGCCAGGGCCTCAAAACTCCTGAACTCAAAACTCACAAGTGACTGGAAACGTTTCCAAGCACATCATACTTTGCAATGGCTTCCTCAGATATCCCACTACTAACTGTGTCCTGATTGTCAACTGCAGTTTTCAAGGTTGCTAGGCCAGCAGGGTACGACTCCACTTGTTGCAAAAAAGAAATCTGATTGCTACTTTTCACAGCTTGTTTTCAGGTAAAGTTAATTGTAACATTTTAGTCGCCAAAAAAATGTCTTGTTCAGCGCTCGGTTGTACTAAAAGAAGACACTGAGGAGTCAATGTTTAATTTCTTCTGGTAAGTACACCTACATTTTGTTTTAAGCTTGTTTTTTAGCTTGCCAAAATTAGCTTTCCAACTAATATCACAGTTAACGTTAAATACGACGCACCTTACTAACCAAGCTAGCTAGCTCCAACCTCTCATCCAAAACTTCTGGTACCAAAAAAAAACTATGTTGTGACGTCACACACCGACTCTGAAGGTCGGTTGAACCGCCCGACTCCATGATCCAAGATGGCTGCTCTGTGTATCAACAGTTCGTGAAAGCTGCAGTTTATACAGTTTATTAGTACTACTATGTATTTGCGTCTCATAGAATTTGTCATACACAAAGTACTTTCCAACTGCTGTCTGTGGACATGTTGTGGAAGTGGAACACGTGTTTTTATCCAGTGTTTGTAACAATGACTAACCTGGCTAGTTGTAAACAATGGCTGCCTCAGCGAGGTTGTCAGGCTTGTTAACTTGAACACGTTCAACTCGGGCTTGACCTCATTTCCAGCTCTGACTTCTGAGGTAAATGGAACGCGCCATAACACTCGGTTCGGCTTTTGTGATCACCATGTCCTTTGAAGGATGCAGGCCCTGAATTCATCACTGTAGGGTTTAGTCCCGATTCTCCCAGTGAAGTTTTAGTTTAGTTTGTAGGCCTAGTATGCAAATGTAACCGTAGTGTGAAGTTCCGATTCTCTCAGTGTAGTTTTAGTTTTGTTTTATGATCATAAAATTAAATGTAACTGTAGGGGTACTCTCAGTTAAGTTTTTGTTTAGTTTGTAGGCCTAGTATGTAATGCAACCATGGTGTGTAGTCCCAGTACTCTGAGTGAAGTTTTATTATAGTTTGTAGGATTATTAAATTAAATGTAACCATAGTGTGTAGTCCCAGTACTCTGGGTGAAGTTTTATTATAGTTTGTAGGATTATTAAATTAAATGTAACCATAGTGTGTAGTCCCAGTACTCTGGGTGAAGTTTTATTATAGTTTGTAGGATTATTAAATTAAATGTAACCATAGTGTGTAGTCCCAGTACTCTGGGTGAAGTTTTATTATAGTTTGTAGGATTATTAAATTAAATGTAACCATAGTGTGTAGTCCCAGTACTCTGGGTGAAGTTTTATTGTAGTTTGTAGGATTATTAAATTAAATGTAACCATAGTGTGTAGTCCCAGTACTCTGGGTGAAGTTTTATTATAGTTTGTAGGATTATTAAATTAAATGTAACCATAGTGTGTAGTCCCAGTACTCTGGGTGAAGTTTTATTATAGTTTGTAGGATTATTAAATTAAATGTAACCATAGTGTGTAGTCCCAGTACTCTGGGTGAAGTTTTATTATAGTTTGTAGGATTATTAAATTAAATGTAACCATAGTGTGTAGTCCCAGTACTCTGGGTGAAGTTTTATTATAGTTTGTAGGATTATTAAATTAAATGTAACCATAGTGTGTAGTCCCAGTACTCTGGGTGAAGTTTATTATAGTTTGTAGGATTATTAAATTAAATGTAACCATAGTGTGTAGTCCCAGTACTCTGAGTGAAGTTTTATTATAGTTTGTAGGATTATTAAATTAAATGTAACCATAGTGTGTAGTCCCAGTACTCTGAGTGAAGATTTATTATAGTTTGTAGGATTATTAAATTAAATGTAACCATAGTGTGTAGTCCCAGTACTCTGAGTGAAGTTTTATTATAGTTTGTAGGATTATTAAATTAAATGTAACCATAGTGTGTAGTCCCAGTACTCTGAGTGAAGTTTTATTATAGTTTGTAGGATTATTAAATTAAATGTAACCATAGTGTGTAGTCCCAGTACTCTGAGTGAAGTTTTATTATAGTTTGTAGGATTATTAAATTAAATGTAACCATAGTGTGTAGTCCCAGTACTCTGGGTGAAGTTTTATTATAGTTTGTAGGATTATTAAATTAAATGTAACCATAGTGTGTAGTCCCAGTACTCTGAGTGAGTCCCCTGAACACTGTAAACTTTTCCCTCTGGTTGCTACGGACACTCACCTTCTCTTAGGTACTGTTGCCGGGCAGAGCGTTCTTGGACAGCGCGAGCCCACTTCTCCGCTTCCTCCAGGTTGGCGCGCGGGTCCTGCAGCGCGTCGAACCGAAAGCACTGCTCCACTCTCTGCCGGTACACCCCGGAACTCATCCAGCGCCGCTTCAGCGGGTAGAAGTAGGCTGCGAAGTACGCTGCCGGGTCCGCGGTGTCATCTTCCCGGTAAGCACGGCAGCCGACGCAGTCCTCCAGGCTGAGCACCACCTTGTTCCGCCCGACAGGTGTCGAAGTGAGCCGCTGGACGAGGAGGTCTCTGTCGGTCAAACTCAGAGCACACCTGACTTTTCGGTTACCATTGACCGTGTATTCCCCGTACAAGGACACTGGGTTGGTGCCGGTGTCTGGTTCTGCTCTCCTTCGTTCCATCCCAAGACCGTGACGCGGGGGGTCCGGGATAAAGCAGCAGCCACACATTCACATCGCTACCCGCCTGGATGGCGCAAGCAGTACAGTGCAGGCTACAGGACTGCGACTTGCCTCTTGCTCTGACCGGTGTCAAGTGGAACGGAATTAAACGCACCTTATCCGGTTATATTTCAAAATAAAAGCCACACACGGAGCTTTGTTTTACAGACATGGGGTCCTGTTCTCAGCCCTGATTGTTTATGGATTTTTGGCTGGGGGTTAACAACCTAGAGTGAGTTTCTGTTCTACAATAACACACGTGGTGGATGATTCCAGTACTGTTATAGTTTCTGGCTAAGAGGTTAAAAAAAGTTTTATGTCTTTACAGAGTGTAAACCTGTTTTACCCTTTTTAAAATGCCAAAGGTTTTAGGCGTCATTAACCCACATTCCTGATGCTCTTATGCAGTCTTTACATTTTTATCATGCGAGTTGATATTGAGAGTGGTGCATGCTCCCCAACAGAACCAGTTGATGCACAGTAAGCCTTACACAATATCCACACAGAAATTGCAAACAGTAAAAGCAGCATATTGGTACAGAAAATGGATAATGGTACTGATAATTATAGTAAAATGAATTATATTAATAATAGAACTAGTAATAGCCTAATTGTAGCAGCAGATGTTGTGCAGGAACACAAGCAGGTGACTCGCAGCCACAGATCCAGACTCCAGAGCCAGGAACACCTGCAGAAAGTGAAAGTCATTTTAATTTAATAGTAAATTTCTAACCAGTTATTTTTTAAACCATCGATTTACTCCACACACTGTCATAACCCACTGAGAATGTCAATGGACCAATTCACGCATTTTATTTTTAGGGTCGTAACCGTTCTGCGAGTTGTTGTGGGTTTCTCCTGCGGGCTTGATGCATTTCTGCTTGCCTGCAGTTCACATTAAAGTTTACTGTTTAACAGTTCTGCCTGTCGAAAAGAGGCGGTGTGCTTCCCCCCAGTGGTTCAATGAGGGAAACACCAGGTTACAAATTTGGTAATCATTGCTGTCTAATGAAAATGATTTTGGTGAAATTAGTCTATCTACTAAATGATATAATCACAGGAACCAATTGAGAAGGTGCTATGTAACTGACAGTCTGTCCTTCATGAAATGAGATGCTGGGTTACCAAGGCTGTGAAACTGAAACTAATATAATTTAGCTCTCATTAATTTTATTATTTTTACTTGTGCTTTTCCTACTGTAACATGTCAAAATGCCTATTGAAAAAGGTTTGTTAACTGACCTTTACTTTGTATTATACTTTAATATACTGCTAAAAAAATACACTTAATCATTACAGTATAACATTAGGAAGCATAAGAAATTGTGAATCAGTGTCACTACGTGCCCTTGCAAGAAGGTTTTCTGTCTCCCAGAACAGTCTCAAGAGCCTGCTAGAAGATACCAGGAGACAGCTGTTACACGAGGAGAGCTGGACAGGGCATTAACCCAGCAGCAGGATCGGAATCTGCTTCTTTGTGCGAGGAGGAACAGGAGGAGCACTGCCAGAGTCCTACAAAATTAACTCCAGCGGGCTACTGGTGTGCATGTTTCCGACCAAACTGTCAGAAACAAACTCCATGAGGGTGGCATGAGGGCCCAACGTCCTCTAGTGGGATCTGTGCTCACAGCACAGCACCAGAATTGGCAGGTCCACCATTGGTGCTCCATTGTCCTCACAGATGGGAGCACGTTCACACTGAGCACATGTGACAGACGTCAAAGTGTAGAGTGGTCATCATTAAGCTGCCTGTAACATCATCAAGCATAACCTTTTGGTAGTGGGTAAGTGATGGTCTGGGGAGGCATATCTTTGGAGGGTCACACAGACCTCCACATGCTAGCGGTACCCTGACAGCTGTAAGGGACCGAGATGAAATCATCAGAGCCACTGGTGCAGGACAATGCCCGGCCTCGTGTGGCCAGAGTGTGTAGGCAGTTTTCTGGATGACAAAGGCAGTGATGCCATTGACTAACCCTCAAGTTCCCCAGACCTGAATCAAATTGAGAACCTTTGGGACCTTATGTATCGGTGCATCCGACGCTGACCAAGTAGCGCCACGGACTGTCCAGGAGCTCACTGAGGCCCTGATCCTGGTCTGGGAGGAGATCCCCCAGGACACCATCCGCTGTCTCATCAGGAGCATGACCATGTGTTGTCGTGAGTGCAAACAGGCACATGGAGGCCAAACACACTGCTGACACACACTGAGCGATATTATGATTTGCTGTGATGAAAGTCAAACAGGTTGGATCAGCCTGTGATTTTAGTTTTGTTACTTTGATTTTCAGCGTGATTTTGAACCCAGCCCTCAATTTGCACGATCTAAACGTGATTTAAGTGTTCCCTTAATGTTTTTGAGCAGTGTACCTGCATACCTTAGGTGTTGTAATATTATGTAAACTACCTTAAAGGAGCTATGTGTTGTTTTCTTAATGTAATGAATCACTTTTTTATTGCTAGTGTGTGAAAGGGTTGTAATCTCACATAAAAACGATCTACTTGCTGTTTTTTGTCATTACCTCTGATGGTCAGTATGCCTTATCCTATGTGAAGACTCCCAGTTGGACGCTCCCGAGCCTCTTGCCTTCTGATTCTGTACCTTGCACACAGCAACAACACTGCAGCTGAGGAGATGGAGTTTGCTAAAACCAAAAAACGACCGGACTACCAGCACAACACAGAGGTATTATGTCAAAGTGTTGATTTTAGCCAGCAAAAAATTATTTTGTGTGGATCCCAGGAAGAGTAGCTGATGCTTTTTTGCAGCTAATGGGGATCCTAATAAATCAAATCAAACATATTCTTACTTGAGGTAGATAGTGCCAGAGAAGGACTTTGACAGTGCTAACATGTAGCAAAGACAGTTGATGCATTTTACTATTAATATTTCTGTAAAGGTGATGACAGAAATCAGTGATGCATGTAAAATGTATAAAAACAATTTACACTATAGACAAACGTGCATAATTATTACAATTAAAATATTATATATATATATATATACTATACAGATTTACATGGAGCCACAATCACATAATGTCAGCACATGTACCACACACACATTCCCCCTCAGTCTGACATCACTCTTTTCTTTTTAATCCCAGCTGAAACTGTTTTGTGTTTAAATTTAAAATATGTCGATACAGTAAGAATGAATAAAATCTATTTCAGAAATTAAAAATAAATACCACTAGTCTTGTAGCTGTTATCTTTATCAAAGGAAGTAATTTCTGTCCTTCAATAATAGATTTTTGTCTGCATGATTGTTGAAAATTAGACACTTTTACCACAAACTGACAAATGACCTCACTTGATTAGAAGAAGACAGTGTAGCGCTCTGTATTTAATTAGGTTTCCCACATGCATACAAATGCACTTTAATTAGTGTTAACTGAACTAAATTGACGTTTTGATGAGCAAAAAAAAAGTGTGATTAAAAATGCACATTTACATAATACTTTATGCATCAATGAAAATCTGTAACCACACACACTTCCACAAAAGGATGACTGCAAATGGAGAAAATGGCATTGATTAATTTGTCAAGGGATAATTTGCAGAGATTAAATGCCTAATTATGATTTCAGTTTGGTTCAGCTTCATGCCCTCAGATGATGGGGATGATGTTAACCGTGAGGCAGCCAACTGTGAATGAGCGGATCGGGAAGATAAAGATCATTACTGCAGCACAGAGAGAAATATTTATTCACATACTTCAACACATTTAACTGACTAGTGACTTTAAAATTGCATTTTGGTGACAATATACATTTTTCCTTCTTTGAATGCAGTACTTATACTTGTAACGGAGTGAATATGGTGTGAATTCATGAACCACCACTGCTACCATGTCACCATACAGTTTATTGTACAATAGCAAAGGCTATTTTTTGCAGTCAATAAATGCACATTTCATGCATCCCATCATGATAATCAATTAGGAGAATATCAATCTTGATAACCTAATATATAATAAATACTAAACTTGGTACAGATTTTGTGAAGGTTTGCTTCAGTAGCTTTCCTTCATCAAGGTTTTGCAGCTCTTGCAAGCAAATATCATGTGATTGTTTTTTTCTACATTTTAGATTTAATTAAGGATGACACATACTATGATGTACTTGAGGAAGATGTGATGTAGCACCATGAATATTACAATGTGTATTAAATTGATTGTAATGACTGGCATAATGATATTGTCCTTGAAAAAAAAACAGGTTTTCCTTCAGTTAGCTAGTAAAAGAAAACAAGAAGCATAACGATATAAAAGTAGTCAAAAGTTGTTTTTCACTGCAAGACTTAATTGTTACAATCATGTCTAGGCAGTGGTTTTATAGTTACTCTGATGGTGAAACTGGTTACATCCTCTGCCCATCTGAATAGAAATGAGTGTGGCTTTGCTTCAATAAGTGTCCAATACACAGTTTTCTTCTGTACAGCTGTTTTGTCTCTACACTCTCTCTGCCTCCATGGATGTGCAATTAAGTGTCAAGATGCACACATTATGCATAGAAGAGCATTTACTTAAGTAAACCAACAGATGGCAATGTTGGATAAAAAAATGGCAGACTGAGCTGTGCTGCACCAGTGAATGTCATTTCTGTGATATTTGTACAAAGCAGTGGAACATAACTCAAGGTATGTTTTAAGGCCCATAAAAATAGGGTACATTCTTGCCTTCATTGAGCACCTTGACCAATTTAACATGTTTTTTTTATATTCAAATCTATTTGTCCTTAAAAAGTGACATTTATGGTTTGTTTACAAAGGATATATCCATCAATTCGGCGGCACGGTGGTGCAGTGGTTTGCCCTGACGTCTCACAGCAAGAAGGTCGTGGGTTCAAACCCTGCTTGCCCCGTCTATGTGTGGCCTTTCACCCAATGCCAGCTGGGATTGGCTCCAGCCCCCCGCAACCCTGTGTGCAGGATAAGCGGTTGACGATGGATGGAGCCGTTGATCCATTGGGCGAAAGGCAGGGTACACCCTGGACAGGTCGGCAGGAACCCTACACACTACACTACACTACAATACGACTTCTCATTGTGGATTTTAGATAGCAAAAACCTTACTCTTTCAAGTTGCAGGATATTCATCAACTAATTAAGCCTGTTTAGTTGTATGGACCTCATAAGAGTGTATTAT